AACACTGAGTACAAGTGTGTATCGCAAAACTTAAGAGAAGTGATCCAGTACTAATGCGAGTTTCTAAACATACTGAAAGCTTATGGAAGTCAGCATACTCAGGCTATTAATGTATTCTGTTAATGTCCATAATAGCAGTTCATTTAAAACGTGATTGGGACAGAGGAGGTGATACACTTTTGCATTAGTATTTTGGGAGTGGATCAATACAGTTACACCTGCTGTATTTTACATGCTATATGTTCATTCAGTGGACTTGAGTTCTTAGTCCAGTTCCCGTAGCGGTTAGAAGCATTTGCTTGCATTCTGTCAGCTCCTTGAGAGGACTTGTGGTATATCCTGAGTTTCTTGAAAAGAATTTAGTTTATGATCTTTCTACGTAAGCTTTATAGACCGAAATATTGACTAAAGTGTTTCCCTCAAGTTTTTTACCAGCCTTATTTCTACATGAGCAGTACTTTATGTCTTCAGGAAGGTGGAAAAATGTGTAGAGTTCTGCCACTATTGATGACATAATTCTTGTATGTCAAATATACTTCTAACTTATTTTTAAGGGAAGATAATTTTCAAACTGGAAATATTTTAGTTGTATTACTTCAGTAATGCCCATTGATTTCATGTAATTTCAGGTTTTTGCATAAAATCAGGTTTGAGCAGTAAGACAAGAAATGGTGTTCTTTTCACTAAAAATGTCATTCACCCATTCTTGCCAAAATTCTTTGATGCTGAAAGAAAGCAAATTCTGTACAAGCCCTACTCTGTTCAAATATTTCTGTTTTCCAAAAATTCATGTATTCTATAAGCTTAATTATAAATATACCCAAGCCTGAAACTGCAACAAATGAAAGTTGAAGAGGCCAAGTATGGAAGCTCAGTAACAGATTAACCACTGTTAAGTTAATTTTAGTAAGGTAAAAAAATGAATTTTATACATATCTAAAAGGCAGTAATGTTTAACAATGTTCACATCAATACTGATCTTTTACCAGCTGTAAGGCAAAGCAGTTTCCCCGTTGTAAGGCAGAAGCAAGGGTAGTTGTTTCTCTTGCCTTGGCTGGAGGCTATCATAGCTGACAGTAAAGGAGGATGAGAAATAAGAGATAAAAAATATTCAGGCTGTTTAACTTTGTTTAAGAAATTTTGCATGCAAGGAATAGGTTTGATTTCCTGTTATTTAGCCAGAATAATTATTAAGTTCCTACGCTGAATGTAAACAATTTTATATGACATGGAGCTATTTTGTAACTAATATGCCACATGACACTCTTTATGCAAATATGAACTTATTTTAATAACATTAAATGATGAAGTATTTAAAATGTATTCGGTTGACTTAACGAATGGTTGATCATCTTGCAATTTGCAGCTTCCAAACAGTAATTGGTAATATGCACCATTCAATTTAACATGCCATTCTGAGTGTCCCTGTATTTTTGTTTGATACTGTTTTATGCTGGAATAATAATGAAATTATAAAATTTACTATATCATGTTAGACTTGCTATATTGTAGCCAATGTCATAAGAATGAAAAAAAATATATATCCTTTGAAGTATATGTGAGTGAAGCACTAAAATTCAGAGATATCTTCTGGCTACTAAAAGAATTTAAGGAGGCATAGGTTGGAAAACCTTCCCAGATATTTTTGTTGTCCCTTAGATGTGGAAAAACGGACTTTAGCTTATGAAATAGAAGTATTTTGAAAGAGAAAGAAAAGGTATATTCACAATTTCCTGAATGTGTTACTAATTCATGGGGTTTTTTTCTTCTCCCTAGGCAGAATGTATGCAAGAGGAAGAGTAATCTTGTCTTAGAAATCAGAGGTTCAGTTCACAAACAAAACTGCCCTTTGGAATATCTAGGAAAACGAAAGGCAATACAAAGTATACAAATTAACACTTTTACTTTGGTTTTAAGTATTTAGTGTCAATGTCTTGTGCCCTTCACCTGCAGTATTTAAACACCACCATTATATTTTTATAGACTCATAAAGCTGATGTCTATATATGCATGTATGTATATATACACAAATATTGAGCAAATCAGAATCGGTGCATTAGCCATAGGTAGAATAATACCTTTCTCAGCAACAGCCTTTCCTTTCCCTCTTTTTAAGTGGCAAAATGTGACTTTTGTAGATGGCTATTTGCAGGTCTGCTGGAAATAAGCACACTGTTGCTCTGTTGAAAGCTCAAAAGTTAAAAACTTGCAGCCTTCTTTCCAATTCTCTGGTTTCACAGCTTCTTAAAAAAAAAGAACCGACACAATTCTAAATAATAATACTGGAATTTGTTGTCTGAGTGAATCCATCTTACAGCTTGTTCACATAAAAACAACAGTACTTCTGTTCTCTGTAGGCTTAAGATTAAGCTACTCATGCAGTGGTTGCTCCTTGAATTTTTTTTTTTTTTTTTTTTTGGTAACAGTTACATTTTCCTTAGGCCAGGAAAATGGAAACTTCTGTAAAAATTGATAGATTTTTGTTTTTTTTAATAGAAAGTTTAGTACTCTTGCAGAAGACACAAGAGCATACTGGGTCAGATCAAAGGTCTGTGTAGCCCAGTATTGTGTCTCCAGCAGGGGCCAAAAGTGGATGCCTGGGGAGGAATATAAGAACAAGGCATGTAGTGGTTTTTCCCTTGAGTGCTTTCTGAGCCTCCAAATATGTGCTACTCAAACTTTTTGAATGATGATTGTGCTTTAAACATAGAAAATGAGAATTAACTGAAGCTTTTAGATAAACAGGATATTTGTGAGAGCAGAATTCCTTTCTCTGCTGACCCAAGTAACAGAATGTATTCAGTAAATGCCAAAGATATTTTCTCAGGAAAACAACAAATTAATTAATTATTTAATTTTTAAAAAGCAATTGTTAAGGATTTTTTTTTTTAATTTAAAAAAAATATCAGAGCAACGTAAGAATTTTAAAGAGAAACACCATTTGGTTGATGAATTTCCCAAATCCTCGACGTGAAGAGGAAGCTAGATCAAGACAAGTCATGTCTGGGGACAGATGAAATAAGCTGCTTTCTATGTCAGCAAGTTCAGGAAGAGATGTGACAGCTGTATGAGACATCATCGAACTGATACTCTGAAGAAGCAGCAGAGTTTTTGTTGTCCTGTTGTACTCAATTTGCACCTGTTTGTTAGAAAAAATTCTAACTCTGTTTTAAGTGCTTCTGTGGGCATGTCTTCTATTAATGTAGTTATGATCTCTATCTACAGTTAGACGAATTTAAGGATAACCTTTGAAGTTTAAGGAAGGTGATACGCTGGAGGAGGTGTGTGTACTTCTTTTCCTTTCTGGAAAAGAACGTATTGTGTTAGAACTATTTCTCATTTCCAGTAGGTCTTTTGACAGATCCATTTGGATAATTCTTTTGTCTTACTCTCTCTTGTGATCTTCAAAAGGTTCTTGGTCAAGAATTGTACTTTCATTTTTTTCTTTTTGGAAGTAAAGACAAGAGGAAGCTATTCCAATTCTCTTTCTGGACTCAAATTCAGACCTAACTTGTCCTCTCTCTTCTCAACCTGAAAAAAAATTACAAGCTTGAAAAACCAGCATAGAAGTGCTTGGTGTAAATAAAGCATATAACAATAGGAAGAAAGAATGCAATCTAGTTTGAGTAGATGATAAAATAAGTGTCTGCGGAGTTTTAATAAACGAGTCAGCTACAAATCAAGATGATGAATTCTTGGCAATAATAAGCAAATGATCAGTCTGATGTAGTGTCTTGCAAGATACTAGCTAGACATAGATAACCTCTGGAACATGTTGTCCAGATTTGGCAATTTTACCGAAGTCTTCAGATAACATGATACATCCTTAAACCATTTCAGTGTTTCCTTCTTTTTTCTGTCTGTGATATAAAGCAGTTCCCACCCACTTGACATTATAGACTAAATGATTCAGATCTATTGGCTCTTGGTTGTGGGAAAATCTGCCCGGAGGTCCGTCGTGGTTCATACCACAAGCAGCCATACTTTTTTTCACCCTGCTTAACTTTAGACTGCATCTTTATATTGGCACACTATCCTTACTCCCAGCTGCAGTTGATTAAAGGTCTCCATAGGTTCTGACACAAAGGATAATCACTTCTGTATGTTCCATGCATGTGGTGGACTATCAGTGAAAGCTTGCTGGCCCCTGTTCTGTCCAAGCAAAAAGTAAGAAATGACTGCAATTCAAAGAAGGCCAGAACTGAGAAATACTGAGAGAGAATCATAGAATCATAGAATAGTTTGGATTGGGAGGGACCTTTAAAGGTCATCTAGTCCAACCCCCAGCCTAGAACCTAGAGGAGGCCATTGCTGCCACTCTGATGGTAACGCCATCCGAATACTTTCTTGTGTGCTGGAAGACTGGCAAATTGTTCCAGCCCAGAAACTGCTTTAGTAGCGTCAGAGCAGTTCTACTGGGTCCGCAAAAGTCTTTTCTGAAATTGGAGAAGTATTTCTTCCTGCACCCCATTTCTTGTATGCAACAGTCAGACTTTAGTTATCATGATTTTTCCATTTCTTTTCTGAATTACAAGCCCACATGAGGTCTTTTGGTTTCATTATGCATGGACCAGAGTGTATCAAGGGATGAATAATAGTCCTTTTTTTTCTTTTTTTTTCTTTTTTTTTTTCTTTCTTCCTTGTACTAAACAGTTTGGGGCCTGAGCGTTTTGATTCTTTAATTTTTTTAAAAGATACTTTTTCCTTTTGACAACTGTCTGAAACATGTTCACTTAAGAACCTCCTACATGGTATGTATTTGCAATTTGTAAACACAGTATGTCAAAGAATGATTTGATTTGGTGGTGAGGCGGCCAGCTATTTGCATGTCATGAGGTCTAAGGGAAACAAACTGACCCTCAGCCTTCCTCCATCCAGCCAAATTCTGATGGGACCCTCAAATAGCTCTGGCAAAGTGTTCTGTTTCTTTTGGACTTGAAGAATGCTTGTTTCTGCGAAGACATGTAATTATTTCTTCCTTTATTTTGCTGCTCAAGTAACCAAGAGAAGCAGCTTAAAACCGAATGTGAGTATTGAGGCTCTTTTCCATTATTCCTTTCTTTGATATTGTTTAAATGTGGTAGTATACAAGGTATCTAATTTAACATTTTGAGCAAGTAAGCTGAAACTTTTTTCCTCAGGCACAAAACTGCTAATTAAATTAGATGCAGAATTCTACACATGTATCAATTTTTTAATTTTATGTACCAAAAGAGATACCACACTTTTTTTGGATGCAATTGTTTTCATTTTATTAATTGGCTTACTCATTAATTTACAGGAAGATTGTTTGGGGTTTCCTTTGTAATAAGATGAGGATTAATTTTGTTTACTCCAAAGAACAAGCCAACAAAAAAAGTGCATGCTGTTTCCTGTGACATTTGAATCAACGTTATTATCTCTTACCAAGCTTTCATAGCTATTTGCTGTTGCAAGAAAACTTTCTACGTAGTGTCTTTTCTGATTAAGGTAAGTCAGTCACTTGTTTCTAGCGTAAATAATTTTAACACCTAACATGGATTGTTCTTGCTTTTTTTTGAAGTAAAACCAGTTTCCAAGCTGGTGTTTATAGCAGTATTTTGACTTGTTATAAAAATCGAGTATCATCTCCTGGAAGGCACTTAGTTTTCTCTTTTAGCTATCACATTTTTAGGATCATCATTTTGGTTTGGAATTCAAAGGGAAAGAGTATTGAAAGGCTATACCACTGTTTAGTGAAATTCTGCTGAAAATATGTGTCTATATTGCAGAAATTTAAAAAAGTATGGGTAATGGTGGAAATATGCCTTAAATTAAAGTCTATCTATACTAATTGTACTGCTACCTGATTTCATAATGGTACTCTTTTTGCTAATGAGGTTAAAATTAAATTTGGACAAAACTATCAAATATAATTTCCATTTCAATAATATAAATGTTTGAAAATATTTTTCTTTAACTGTCTCTGTTTTCAAAAAATCTGGTTTTATACAGAGCTGGACACAAAATCTCTTACATTTAGGAAACAAGTTTCAGATGCCTTTCTTATTTGTGGACAATATTTTCACCCATATTTTTCTTCCGTTTTTCTAGAGTATTTTAGCAGAACAGGCTGTAATGGATTTAATGTATTAATGTTATAACAGAGTGGTGATGGCCTTGCCATGTAATTTTATCGCAGTGTCACAAAAGTCACTTTGATTCAAAGTTGTTGAACTGGTAGAAACTTAAGATGACATACTAACTTTCTTGTAAGATTAGAACAAAATGAAATCAAAAGCTGTTGGAAAGAGATTCTGATCAGTTGTGACTTATGGTATCTCCAGGTTATTTGCAGGCAGTCATATTTTACAAAGTGTATATTTTTGGTTGACTTGGTAGGACATATGTTCTGTGGGCTATATACCAATAAGCCCAGCTTGCTTCTTTTTTTTCCATATCTGAGTTTTATTTCTCAAAAAAAAAAAGTTTAAAACTTTTAATACTGCCTAACCATGGACAGACAGAAAGAAGTGTAAAAATCTTAAGCAGCATGCTTCCAAATGTTAAGCCCAAAATCAGAGAGTGAAATTCTGACCCTGTTCAAATGAGCAGCCCTCCTGTTGACTAAAGAAGCTCTAGATGCTGTTCAGGCTTTTAGATCACCCAGAGAATAAAACTGACCTGAGTTTTTCTGCACACTTCCCTGACAGTTAAGGGTAAGATGATGGCTTACGACTTAGACTAAAAATTACTAGGTTAGTCACACATTTGAATTTTCCTGTAAAATGTGAGAGGGAAGAAATAAAGGTGGTTTTGTAGAAATACGCAAACATTACTCCAAAAACATTGATGTATTAAAAATAAATTAATAAAATTCTATAGCAGAGATACAGTGAGGGACAAGACTGTTACAAAGGCTAACTAATCTCCCTTGGTTGCCTCTGTAATGATGTCTAATTTAAGTTTCTGCTGATAATCACCCTGGAAAGGAATTTATCTCTCTCTCTTAACTATAAAAAAGTGCCATGTTCATTAGTCTCAGTAGGCTTAGGTTAGCTTTTGTGAATATCCCCATTCTTCTCTGATATTGTACAGTATACATCAGCTATTATCCCTTCTTCTTTCCCTTCATTAGAGCAAGAGTGTTCTTTGATTCTACTTCATTCGTGTTAGTATGTTACTTTTCTTCTTAGCCATGGTTGCCTTTGAGTTTGAATTTTTCTAGGCCCATATATAAAGACTGGTAAATTCTTGCACATCTCAGCATATTACAGATAATGGATCTGAATAGGCTGCCCTAGTTCATTGCTGGACTCACACCTGGCTGCTTTATAACTCAGAAAAATATTAGTTTTCCTATAATGTGTCTTTGTGCATAAATAGCAGAATTGGTAGAAAGAATGACCTAGTGACACACCATGGCATAGTTGTTGACGGAGCACACACACAAGGGACCAGAATTCAGTCCAGAACGACCTCCAGCAAGTTGTTCTGTGTCTCAGTTCTCCATCTGTACCATCAACGTTCAAACCTACATTATCCAAAACTATCTGGAAAGAACCCAAATTGACTGGAAAATCCTTCATAATTAGGAACTCTCTCAACCGCTATAGCCCTAAGAGGTTTGATGCAAAACTGGAAAAATTCCACCTAGAACATTTAGCATAAGAATATTAATCATAACCTCAGTGTAATTAAGAACAATTACAAAGTTCACAACTGGAACATTTTATTGCTTCAGCTAATTTTGGAAGTGCTTTCTACCTCTAGCACTGGAGGTTGACCACCCAGCAACCTTCGTACAGGTGCTTTTAACTACCCTGGGCCAGTGCCATGGATACTGCCTGATGAGCAGACCCATCTAACGGCAAAGGCATAGTGACTGGCGTCTTTCCTTCCTACTCTTCCAGGTTTGTTCTCTGACCTTGAGCAAGTCAATTACTTTGCTTTGACAAGTATTAACCTTTTCTGTAGACAAGTATCTCACAACTGTGTTTTAGGATTACTTTGTTATTGTTAGAAAAGCATTCTGAAACCTTTCAAAGGAAGGCTGTAAAATACTTTAGAGTATCAGAAGCCCAGAATAGTATTAGGCTGTAAATCTATTTATCAGGAGCCCAATCTTCCTCAAGTGAGCTCTTCAAGTTTCAAATTCAGCCACGTCATGATTCATTTATGTATTATAACATGCCAAGTTGTGGCATGATTAGACTTCTGTGAGTCTGGGATTCTATTTGAATGAAAAAAAAGGAAAAGATTAGAGGAAAAACTGTTTCATGCTGATCTTCTAATTGTCAATCTTTGTTTAGTTTGGTGCTTGAAAATTGAAGAGCATTGGGAAACATTTCAAATTAAAAGCTAAAAATATTTTGGGTGTTTTTTAAATACAGTAACAGAATTCTTAATTTGTTTAGCTTGCTTAGACTTTTTACTGAAAACATTTACCAAGTTTAAGATAAATTAGCAAAAAGGACTTGAATGGTATTTGTTCCTTGATGCAGTTTCTGCTGCTGCTTACTACTCTTCTTCTCCTCAGACCAACCTTATCCCCCACAGAGGGGGTCAGAGTTATGTACTCTGAGCATCATCTCGTACTGAAACCAGTCAATTCTATTCTAGATTTGCAAAGATGGTTGCTCTGCTATTGCTAGACATCAGTCTTCACATTGTCACTTGAACAGACTTTACTGGTTTCAGTGGACTCATTGTTCCACAATTTACTTGAGTTAAATAGCATGTTCTTAAAATGTTTCTAAATATTAGAAAGGAATTTCTTCATTCTTACAAAATTTCTTCCAGAATTCTAAGACTTTACTGATATTTTTTTATTTGGCTGAGTCAAACGTTGACTACCTTGGGTGTTAATTTTCCTTCAGTCAGAATAGGGCAATCCTACACTGGAACCATCTTTTAGACAGCATGTATTTATAATCACAGAAAGAAATCCAGTCTGAAAGTCATAGTGCCGAAACCAAAAAAAGGATCTTTTCACATGCCAGGACATTACAAAAATCCCAGCAGGGCAGTAACTGAAGGGTCAGTAACCTCACAAAGTCAGAATACCATGGTCTACCCATTGCAGGGTCTAATTTTAGATCATAGCCACTTTCAGGAAGGTAGGCTATGTTAAAATAGAAATATGTTTAATGTCTGGCACAGAGATTTTAAGGCTTAAGGGACATGTTAGGATACCTAATGAGACGTAGGTCCATGAAACCTAGGCTCAGGAGGTCTTCAATTAATATTTTTTTTTCTGGTTAATAGGTGATGCACAAAGCCACATATTTAAAGAAAAGGGGAAAAAAAAAAAAAAACACCCAACCAAAAAAACCAAACCCAACGTCTTTTTCCTGTACTCAGTCCTAGTAACACTCCTTTATTTTTCCTCCCTGGTAAAGGACAAACAAGATGCTGAAGACCTCCACTTCCTGCCCTCTCTCCCATAAGCCCCACTACTAAAGGGGTTCAGTGCCTTCAAAAGTCCTGTTATCAGCTCTCTTCTAGAACTGAGATTTTAGATTGTGAGCCATATATCCTTTTGCTGTGTTGGAATGGAATGTGCTGGTTTACTATCAACAGTGAACACAGGACATCTCGTAAAAGGTTGTGTGTATCTGAATTTTTTTTTCCCTCCAGCCCAAAGACCAGCAGCCTTCCCTTGATGCACCTGCATAGTTAAACTAATAAGGTTTTCCAGCTTTACAGTATATTTAAAACAAATACAGGGCAGAGAATAAAAGGAAAAAGCCACCCTGCTATAATTCCACATCTGTAGTGAAATGCACACACGGCCAAATTGTACTAGTTTGTTACTGCAACCCTGGTGCAGATGTCGAGACTTTGTAAGTGAATTGTGCCTAGCACTCCCCAGTAGATATGAGGACACCAACCCTAGCATGCAGAGTTAAAAACCTAATCCAGAAAATATTAAATCACAGAATTTGACATCCATGAATTGAGTGAAATTATTCAGATGCATTAATTTGCAAACATATGCAAGTGTTCCTGGTGTTCTGTTCTAAGAGAAGACAAAGCAGGTGTTCGTATAACACTTAGGGGAAAGCA